CGCGGAGATCTGGAGTGTGTGGGACTTTCTCCCAGGGCACAAGGGGCCCCTACAACGTGACCCCCTTAAACCCCTCCTTTGACAACTGGGACCCAGAGAGGCCGGTTACCAGCAGCAGAACTGGGATTGAACTCATGTCCCCACAGTTCAGTCAGGCTGCCAAGAATTGGAAAGGGGAACAGAAAAGATTGTATCCTTTTTTTGTTCTGATTTTCTCTCCCATTCCCCGTAGCTCTTCCAGCTCCTGTGTCCAACTTAACACTACAAAGGGCCCCCAGTGCACACTAAGCTGATAGCCTGCAGGCCAGATCTGTTTTTTTTTTACCACAAATAGTTTGAAATTTATTAATTAATTTATTTAATCCACACTGAGAATATTTTTTCCATTGATTTTTTTTTTTAGAGAGAGAGTGGAAGGGAGGGAGGGAGAGGAGGAGAGAGAGAGAGAAAGAGAGAGAGAGAGAGAGAGAGAGAGAGAGAGAGACATGATTGGAAGTTAGTTGCCTCCCTCAACTCAGGAACGTGCCCTTGACTGAGAATCAAACCCAATACCCTTTGGTGCAAGGGCCAATGCTCTAACCACTGCTAAACACCGGCCAAGGCTGAAATATTTTTTAAATTGTGGTGAAATACACATAACATAAAATAGACCACCGTAACCGTTTTTAAACGTCCAGTTCAGTGGTATTAAGTACATCACATTGCTGTACAACCATCACCACATCCATCTCCAGAACCTCCTCATCTTCCCCACTAAAATTCTGTACCCATTTACCGTGAACTCCCCATTCCCTTCTCCCCCCCGCCCCTGGCAACCACCATTCTACTTTCTGTGTCTAGGACCCTGACTGCTCCAGGGACCTCATAGAAGTGGAATCATATAGTATTTGTCCTTTTTTTTTTTTTTTAAATATATTTTATTGATTTTTCACAGAGAGGAAGGGAGAGGGACAGAGAGCCAGAAACATCGATGAGAGAGAAACATCGATCAGCCACCTCCCGCACGCCCCCAACTGGGGATGCGCCCGCAACCAAGGCACACGCCCCTGACCGGAACCGAACCCGGGACCCCCCAGTCCGCAGGCCAACGCCCCATCCACTGAGCCAAACCGGTTCTGGCGTATTTGTCCTTTTATGATCAGCTTATCTTACTTAGCATAATGTCCTCAGGCTCATCCATGTGGTAGCATATGTTAGAATTTCCTTTCTTTTTATGGTGGAATAATATTCAATTGTGTGTATAGACCACATTCTTCATCAATGGGCGCTTGGGTTGCTTTCACGTTTTGGCTATTGTGAATCACACTCACTGCTATGAACACAGCTGTGCAAACATTTCTTTACGTTCCTGCCTTTTCTTTTTTTTTTACTTTTTAAAAAATTGATTTTAGAGAGAAAGGGAGGGATAGAGAGAGAGAAAAGAGAAACATTGATTTGTTATTCCACTTATTTATTATGCATTTATTGGTTAATTCCTATATGTGCCCTGACTGGGGATTGAACCCACAACCTTGGCATATTGGGACGATCCTCTAATCAATTGAACTATCTAGCCAGGGCCTTTGAGTTCCAGCTTTCAATTCTTCTAGGTCTATATCCAGAAGTAGACTTGCTGGATCATATGATAATGCTATTTTTTAAAAATATATATATTTTATTGACTTTTTTACAGAGAGGAAGGGAGAGGGACAGAGAGCTAGAAACATCGATGAGAGAGAAACACCGATCAGCCGCCTCCTGCACACCCCCCACTGGGGATGCGCCCTCAACCAAGGCACATGCCCTTGACTGGAATCGAACCCAGGACCGTTCAGTCCATAGGTCGACACTCTATCCACTGAGCCAAACCAGTCAGGGCTGATAATGCTATTTTTAATTTTTGAGGAACTACTATTCTGGTTTTCATAGCAGAATTTGAAATTTTTTTAAATTAGTTGCCAACATTAAAATTATATATATATGTTTTCCCTGGCTGAGCGGAGTGTGATTCTGTGAACCAAAAGGTTGTGGGTAGAATTCCTGGTCAGGGCACTTACCTAGGTCACAGGTTCAATCTGCAGTTGGGGCATGTATGGCAGGCAACCAATCCATCTCTCTCTCTCTCTCTCTCTCTCTCTCTCTCTAAAAAAACAACAACAAACAAACAAAAACATCAATAAAAACATATCCTTGGGTGAGGATTTTTTTAAAAATCTGGGTTTTATACTTTTGAGAAATTGAAGGCCTGACACCATTGGTCCTGCACTCCTAGCACCAGCCTCATCAGGGCCCCCTTCAGAGACACGGCACCCACGGGCAGTGCCCCTCCTCAGAGGTCTGGGTCCCAGCCCTGCAGGGCCCTCTTGTTGGTTCTAACCTTTCCTTTGTCCCCCAGCCCTAGGTGGTAACTGCTTCCTTCTGTGAGGCTCTGTGAAACCTCGGTGGTCCTCTTCCACCTTTTCAGCCCTCCTGTACCTGTTTAACACATTCCCTATACAGTGGGGCCTTGACTTAGGAGTGTCCCAGCTAACGAGTTTTTTGAGATACCAGCTGTCTCTCAGCCAATTTTTTGCATTGAGTTGACAGAGTAATTTGAGTTAAGGAGCTCCTTAACGCGCTCCGTCTCGGAACGAATTAAACTCGTAAGTCAAGGCCTCACTGTATTAGATCTTTTTGTTAAAACACCTGGTGTTGTTCTGTTTTCCTGGATGGCTCTGGCTGGTACCACTCAGCTGGGTCACAGCTGCCCTCTTCGGTTAGACTTCAGTTCTCCTGGTCCCCTCTCCTCCACTCCCCATTATCCAACATGTGGCTGACTTTGCTGCTTGACTGTAAGGTATCCGATGTGTGTCCCTACTCTAATCAAGTAACTTCTGCTTACCGAGCATCTGCTAGGTGCCAGAGACTGACCTGATGCAATCATCTCATTAATCCTCTCCACAGCACTGTGAATCGGGCACTGCTGTGATCCCCACTATACAGACGGGGAAACTGAGGCCAGGACAGGGAAGGCTAACTACACTGTCCTTCAGTCAGCAAGTTCATATTTCTGTTACGAACCTTTGCATTCTATTTATGCATTTGATAAATATCTGATCTGTGCATTCCAAGCTCCCTTTAGAAGAAAGTAAGTTATACACAATTGCTTGGAATCAAAACCTCAGAAACTAACATCCCCTGTCTTAGTTTTCTCCTCTGTAATATGGGGATCATGACAGATGCTACCTCACAAGGTTTCTATGAGGATTCAGTAACATGATGTGTGCAAAGTGCTTAGCTCCGTACCCAGCATGTAAGAAGTACTGAGCAAACGGTAGCCATTGATATTTTTACTAAGTATAGAAGGATTATTGTGTAAAGCATGAATTATAGAGTGGCTGGAAAGGATGTGTATGGAGAGTGTGTAGTAGTGGGAAAGTGCCTATTCTATGTGAAAGAAAAAAAGGGCCCAAAGTAAACATAAATGAATTCACATACTAAAAAGGCTCACAGAAAACAATCAAAAAACATTAACTGTGGTTGATTCACAGCTGAGATCTGGGACAATGGTTTTTCTAATGAAAATGTAAAAGATGCAATCCCATCAGCATGCTCATCAGCTTCTTCACAGAAGTTGACAAGTAGATCCTGAAACTTGTATGAAAATGCAAGGGACCCAGAACAACCAAAGCAATCTTAAAGAAGAGGAACACAACCGGAGGACTGTGCAACTGGCATGGATGTAGGGCCAAGGGGAGAGCTGAGCTTTGAGATCGCACAGCCATGACTATCACGAACATTTCTTGCCCTGGCCGGTTTTCTCGGTGGTCAGAGCGCCAGACAGCTAGTCTTCTGAAAGAATGCCCTAAGCTTCATTGGCAGAGGTATCTTAGAACAAGAGTAAAAAATTCTTGTAGTAGGAGTTGCTTTGGGAGGTAGTGAGGCTTTCATCCCTTGAGGTGTGAGAGCTGGGCTGGAAATCTCTAGTCTCGCGGTTTCCAAAAGACAAAATTGTCACCAGACCACAGTGATTTCAGGAAAAAGAACTCATGGTTAGATTTTCATAAACCTTAGTTTATTCATTTTAAACACCATTTTGTTTCTGATGATCATTTCCCTGCTTTTTTCTTTTTATGTAAACCTGTCCTTTCTTTAATAAAATGATGCTGATGATTGACTTCTTTTTGGTTATTTTTATTGTTCTCAACTGGCAAGGTAAAGAGTTGGAAGCGCTCTCACTTTTATTTTTTTGTAATCTTTATTGTTGAAAGTATTACATATGTCCCCCTTTTTCCCCATTGACTTCTCCCAAACCACTCATGCTCCCCCACCCCCACCCCCCGTTCCTCTCTCACTTTAAAAAAATATTCTACAACTCTAAAATCTCAAAGTCCGGGAATCACTGGGAAAAACTCGCAGCTCTGACACTTATTTCCTGCAAGAACTTGAGCAAGTTATGAAACCTCTTTGAAACTCTGTTTTTCCATCTGCAAAATGGGGATGATTCACACATCTCATGGTTGCTGTGAGAATTAAGCCAGGTAATGTATGTGACTGTACTTAGAGCATCATAACCACTTGAGAAAGTGTCCTCCAGAGTCTATGAGTTCCATGAAGGCACCCACTTTTCTCTTCTGCAAATTGAAGAGTTCTTGTTTCTTCAATCTGTATATTTCCACTCTGGTCTCTTCTGTATGTTCTCAGTTTGTCACTGTTGCTCTTAATCTATGAATCTAGAACTGAACACATGCTTTTGGTGTGGCCTGGCAGTGTAAAGTAGGCTCACTATCACCTCCTTCAATCTCCATTAATCCAACCAAAATTTACCATGGATTTTGTCGAGATGAAAGTGCCTAACAGCCTCCAGATCTTTTTTATAAAAATGTTTGCACAACCCTGTCTCCCATATGCAATTGAAGTCTTAGACCTAAAATGAGAGGCTTTACTTTTATGATTTACTCAATAGAACAGGGTCAAAGAAGACCCCAAATGTATTCTTGAACTCAAGAAAGCCAACGAAATATTTCACGGACTCTTTTTAGTACAAGGAAGAAAACGTTTATTTAAATCTTGATGCAGTCCAGGGCTGCAGAGCTGGCACTAGGTGATGATGGAGCCCAGATGCAGTGGTTTCATCCCCCATATCTCACCCACATCAGGTTTGCCTAGGGGACCTGACATGGTGGTTCCATGTCTCAGGACAGTGGACTGTAAGTCTGTCCTGGAGTGGCTCTGTAGGAACTGAGAGCACACAGGATAGTCTGGGGGTTTGAAAGAAACCAGAGCCCAGACGGATTATAGCGTGCAGGGCCCAGGAGTCTCCTACTGCTTCCTGAGAGCAGTGATGTCCCAGAACCTTCCTGCTGATCCAGGTACCATGAAGGGTTCAGGTCCCTCACCCTCCCTCTGCCTTCCATCCTGGCAGCTGGATTGCATGCCAACACTGCCCAGAGGATACCTCTGCCAGGGCTGGTGCCAATGTTCAGACCGTGTGGAAGGAAAAGAGCTCTCTTTATTGCTCTAGCCTGGCCTGCCCACATGTCTCCCAGAATGTCGCTCTGTGCTTCGGATGCCACGCCGGTCACACTAGGGCTGGGCCTGGCTGCCCGCCGGGCACTGGCCTCAGTCAGTCCTCCTGAACCCTGGAAGAAAAAGCCCACAGGATGGCATGGGATTCTGAAGACAGTCAGGCCTCATTCCCACCATCACCCCAGATGCCTAAGACCCATCACAGCTGGAATAATGTAGTCACTCCAGAAGCCCTCGGTCTCAATGATCCACCGCCATCGCAATGAATTTCCCCTTTGTGGTTTAAGGAAGATGGAAATCCTCAGCCCAGAGACACACAAGCCCCTCCCCCACTACCCCAGCCTCTGAGTTTTGAGACTTAATAGTAGACACAGAGCTGCTGGTCATCCAAGAGGATCTCCGTTAGCTCAGCCCAGCCACTCCAGCTGTGTGACCCTGGGCAAGTCAGTCTACCTCTCTGAGCCTCAGTTTCATCCGACAAATGCAAAATAAGAAAAGCCCCCCCCCCCCCCCCCCCAGTGCTATAAAGCCAATAAAACCACAGAGAAGGTAGAGTTTGGGGAAAAGGGCTATGACAGAACACCCAGACTCCCTTCACTTTACTAGTGTTTCCCACTTAGGGACGTCTGCATCCCTGCCTCACGTGATTTTCGGCCTTGTGCGGTAGGTGTTATTACACCCATTTTTCAGTTGAGGAAACTGAGGCTAACAGAGCTGGTAAATCGGAAGAGGCAGGAATTGAACCGAGGCCCCGACTCCAGGCCCTGTGCTCTTTCCTATATGCTAAGCCTCACTGGCAACAGAAGACCCCGATTGGGAGAGGGAAAGTGCACTTGGGAAGAATGTAAAAGTTACCGATCAGCCTGAGCTTCTGGAAGAGGGGGATGAAGCCTTGCAGGACTCGGTGGATCCGGTACACTGCCCAGACAAGGAGAGAAAGGTGACTGAGCACTGTGCCTCCTCAGGGGACCTGGGGTCAGACCTCCTCCGCGCCCACACACGGACCAAGGCTTAAGCCACACAAACAAGGCTCTCATGGTGGAATTTCAGGCAGCAGGTTATGCTTAGATAATAGTACTGGAGTTATTATTAAAAACAACAGCCACGAACAGCAATAACAGTTCCAGGAAATGGAGAATGCAGTACCCAACCCCATGAACTAACTTGTTTTCAGCATCTGCCTGATTTCTGTTTGTTTGCCACTTTCAACTGTTTTTGTTGCATTTTTACAGAGCTGCCCATTTTTCCACAGAGTTTTGCCAAAGACCTCACATTGACCTTGAAAGCAGTCAGGAGGAAAACATGAGCATAAGAAAAACCTTTAAAAAGTGCTTAGGCCGTGGCTTTCTGGCCCTTGGCAAGCATCTGTGGCTGGTCCAGCCACCACCCGCTAAGAGTCTGGATGGGGGCGTGGGGGGATGGGGCAAGGAGATGCTTACCCAGACCGAAGTAGATGCCAACGGTCTCCAGGGAGGCAAAGGTGAGCAGGCCAACCCCAAGGGACATGAACCAGTCTGCAAGGACAGTCAGGGAGAGAATGGTTAGCCTACAGGTCTGAACCCCAGCCCCCCCAGCAACTGTTCCCACAGCCCCCACTCACCTGCGTAATAGTGATAACACACCAGCAAGGCCCCAATTGCAAAGCAGAGGAGGACGAAGTGGAAAAACTCATCTGTAAAGACAGGAGGTGGGGACTTTACTATTTGCTTCTTTCTCCCTCCTTTTTTTTTTTTTTTTAAATCCTCACCCAAGGAGTGAGGATATTTTTTTCCCATTGATTTCAGAGAGTGGAAAGGAGGGGGGAGGGGAAAAAGGAGGGGTGGGAGAGAGAAAGGGAAACATCAATGTGAGAGAGACACATTGGTTGGTTGCCTCCTGAACACACCCCGACTGGGGGTGGGGATCAGACCTGCACCTCAAGTAGGCCTCCTTGACCAGGAATTGAATCAGAGACCCTTCAGTGCGCAGGCCAATGCTCTAACCACTGAGCACACCCGCTAGGTTAATTACTAAAAGTATTCCTGTCTCTGCTGAAGTGTAGCTTTTATTCAGAGACACTTCTCCTGACCAGCCCAACTAAAACAGCACCCCAAGCCCCACCCTTTCCAGCCTTTATCTCACTTTATTATTTTCCTAACACTTATCACCACTCAGCTGGTTATGTTTTCATTTCCCTGTTTATTCTCTGTCCCCCTCCGCAGGATGGCGGGTGGAGATTGTGCCCATTGACCAAAGCAGCACGGGCATGCAGAGCTGCTGACACGTTGTTTGCGGGATGAATGTGTATACAACTGTAAAGATATGCAAATGTTTCACGTTTAAAAGTTTCACATTGCCCCATTCTCTCCCTAATCCTACTCCTTAAAACCGAGTGGCGATTGCCAAACCTTTCCAGGCACATATATGTACAAACACATAAAAAAAAAAAAGCAGGGTCAATTTTTATACCTGCTGCTCTATAATTTGCTTTTTCCCTCTCATTGATAGGTCAGGGCCATCTTTCCATCTCAGAGCATAAATAGATCTGTCCTGTTCTTTTTGATGGCTGTATAGGGTTCCATGGTATGAAGTTACCCTAGCTTATTTAACTAGTCCCCCGCTGATGAAGTTATTGCTGTCAGATGTTTGCTGTTACCACCTATGTTGTACCAAACATCCCTACCCATGAACCGCTGTGCACGCTGTGGGCCCAGTGCCCAGAAATGGAAATGCAGGCTGGAATGTTCGGAAGGGAGCGTAGGAGAGAGAGAGAGGAGCTGAGAGGCTGGCAGGAATTCAGGGGTGGTCTGTGGAAGAGGCCCCCCCGGCACTTTGCCGGGCACCGTGTGAATTATCAGAGGAGAGAACACAGGGGCTTTGGCCCACTCCAGGGGCTGTGATTAGAAGAGATGCAAACAAAGATTTCAAGAAGAAAGAAAGGAAAAGGGAAAAGAGAAGACAATGCAGAGACCATGCCGGGAATGAGGCAGCTTCCTGAGTGGGTGTTGAGGCTGCCAGGAATGTGTCTTAGTTCAGTCCAGTGTAGCCACTGGTGTGCTGTGAAGCTTGGGACAAGCGTCCTGACCTCTCTGAGCCTCAGTGTTCTCACTGATATACATACTGAGGAGAGCAATACCTATGTCACCGATAGGACAGATGGGCGTCTTGCATGGGAAAGTTTGTAAATGGTAAAAGGCAACGTGTTATTTCGTGTCACTGCTGGCAAGGAGCATTTTGAAGGCAAATGAATGGAAGGGGAGAAGGGTATTTCTGGTTTTATTTTCCTGGGGAAAAATTAAAATGCATATTTCCAGTACATTCTTTGCTCTGAAGTCAGTTTACCCTTTTGGGGAGAGGGAGGAGGAGTACATCTGAAACTAATATAATGTATGTCAATTATATCTCAATTTAACAAAATAAACACCTAAATTTCATTCAGAAAGTCAGGGGCATCTTAAAATTCAACATAAATGCTACCAAATATACTTACTAGTAGAGCTCTGTTCCTCTAAAGAAAATAGCAAAAACAGCAGTATTGTTCACTTATAAGAACCATAATTATTATTTCATCAAAAAAAGTCAAAATAAGCATAAGACAAATGGCAATACTTTATTTTGTGGAACAGTTCTTTGAACAGACAGTTCAAAATGCCCCAAACTACCAGATTTTGCTGCGTGTAGAACACACACACACACACACACACACACACACACACACACACACACACACGGCAAACAAAGCAAGACGGTGACGTTCGAGCCAGCCCTCTGCCTGCAGAAGGCTCTGCTCACAGGGAGAGACTGCTCTGTGTGTCTGACGGGCCATGAACAAGGGTCAGGGCAGTGTTAATGGCATGGGGTCTCCGACCATACTCTAAGAAAGAGAGTGGAAAGGGGACTCACCTTCCCACTTTGGGGTATAATGCATGTCCTGTAGCAACTCAGACATGCTCTGTGCGTAGGGAATCCCAGACAAGGCTCCTCTTTTAGCCGGGAAAATTAAACGGCACGCTCTGGTCATCTCGATGGACAAAGGCAGAGCAAAGGCGTGGACCCAAGTCTCCACTCCCTGAACATGGGCTTTTGCAACAACTCAAAATGTTTCTAGAGCAACTGCCATTTATTTAATAAAAAATTATGGTCTCCCTCCTCCTTGAAGCGCCCCCAGATTCCAGGCCTGGAATGGAGGAGGCCCCTCTGGTCCTTACCACCCCTTCTCTAGAGCTAGTCTAACCTGAACTCACAGCTTCCTCAGCCCGGGTGTGTCTGGAGGGCATTTGTCATCCTAGTAACTCCACGTACAGCAGAAACAGCTTACGTCCAGGGTTAAAGCTCGGGTCACAAGTTACAAGACCACTCCCCGTTCCTGAGCCTCAGTTTCCATATCTGCAAAATGGGAATCACTGTCCCCCCTTCTCCAGGTGATTTGAAGCTGGGGAGTTTGCAAACTGCAGGGGTGGGGTATGATTACTGCTGTCCTAGGCCACCAGCTGACTTTCTACCCATAGAAATCTGGACAAGACAAGCAGAAGCAGCTTTGGAACATTCATTTCCTTACCATCTTTCTTTATATTCAGTCTTCTTAACTGAGAGACCTCCTCCATTTCTCCTTAGGAACAAGAAATCAGTGTTTAGCTTTGACACAGGATGGCAGGTGGGGTTTTCTCTTTCCCGCCTCACTGAGAAGGGCTCTCTTGGCTTCTTTTTCCTGAGTCAGAGGACACTCCCTGCAGGACCCATCAGGGCCAAGATGTGAAGGAGGGGAAGGCTGTCGTTGGAACCCCCCCTGACCACTTCTAACTCCACAGGCCTGAGTCTATGCTCTGTTCCATGTCCCCTGAGCTTGGAGGTCCCCTTCCTGAATCGTTGGGCGACACCCTGGCTGGTGATGGCATTCTGCCGGGACTGGCCCACCTTCCCAGGATGGCTGTGATCTCTCCCACCCCCTGGGATTCAGGCCGCCTGCTGCTCTCCTCTTGGGGCTTGAGTACTTACCGCTTGCTGGGTCTGAGCCTCTCCTTCGGAGTCCTGCAAGTTAGAAACTCAGCATTAGTGCCCAGGCCAGCCTGGGTCCCTAACAGCGGCCTGCACCCTAGGGAAGGCCATCGGTGGCCTGTGAAAATGCTCCTGTCAAATTGTCCACACCCAGCAGCTCTTTCTATCAATCCATTGCTGGTTATAACCTCTTTGCCTCTTTTGGACCTCCTTTCTGATCTCCACTGGCTCCCTGCCTCATGCCACAGCCAGCCCTGCTGTTTGCTGAGCCCCGATCCGAACCCCAGGCCCCCAAGTGGACTTGCAGTCCCTGTGTTACAGCCATGAACCCTGATAACAGTTGGCAATGCCCCGACCTCATTCAACACCAGCACCGACCAACGCTCTCCCGAAGCTAGACACTCACCTGACTCTCCAGAGGGCACCACCTCCCCAGGAGCACCTGCACAGAAGGAAAATCCATGATCACAGGTCCATTATCCTCATCCAGAGACTTTCCGTTTGATCTGAGTGGGTTACGTGGGGACTGGAGCGAGCTGGAGGGTTCCTAGTCCATCTAGAGCAGTGGTTCTCAACCTTCTGGCCCTTTAAATACAGTTCCTCATGTTGTGACCCAACCATAAAATTATTTTCGTTGCTACTTCATAACTGTAATGTTGCTACTGTGATGAATCGTCATGTAAATATCTGATATGCAGGATGGTCTTAGGAGACCCCTGTGAAAGGGTCGTTCTACCGCCAAAGGGGTCGCGACCCACAGGTTGAGAACCACTGATCTAGAGGGTCAGTCACCACCCACCAGCCACTAAAGCCGCTGCAGGAATGCCTGCCCAGTGTTACAGGTCTTCCACCTTCCCAGGACAAGCCAGAAATCTAGGTTTTTACATAAACTTCTTGATTATAAAAAAGGTTGGCAACTCTTGTATTTTAGCAAATCAGAGAGTTTGTGAGACATGACATTTTTTTCTATGTTACTATGTAAGGAAAACCACTGCTAATTATCGCTGCAAGTTACCAGTGTTTTTATGATGCATTCAGATATGTCCAAATGTGAAAAAATGTGGGTTGCAGAATTGATGAAATGTATTAATTATAATTTTTAGAAACACTCTATGAGCTTTGTACATAACAGAGCAGCTCCCTCGCTTCGACCAATGAAAGTCAGCCCTCGACACAAGGGTTTGTAGAAAAAAAAGAAAACCACTCTGTGAGCCAAATAAAACACATCTGCACACACAGGAGTCACCAGTTTACAACCTATGCCTGTTCATGATGATCTAGATCTAGGTGATGACATCTAGCCACAAGGCCCCAGCCCCACCAGGCCCTGAACTCCTGGGAGCTATGCTGGGTTGTACATGGGAGTCCCAGCCCCCTGTCCCCCAACCCCGAGCGTCAAGCCCCTTGTCTGTGTGAGTTGAGCCCTACATACCGCCCTGAGTTGCAGCCTCACCATTAATCTGGTCTGAGGTGACCTTCCCACCCATTTGCCTAGGAAGTTTTTGGTGCCTATTCTAGTTTCTGGTGACCGCTCTCCTAGCCCATCACCTTCTCCCCCTCAAGGACAGGTAGGACTTTTAATAAGGTACTAAAGAGGGAGTCTATATTGGTGCCCTGATGATTTTGCTTGTTCTTCCTCCCATGCTATCTCCACGTCAGGAGCAATTCCTGTTAACTTGGATAAAAAGCGCCAAACTAAGAGTCAGAGAAAGGCTTGTAACCACTTCCACTACCACCACCATGACCACCCCCACCACCACCACCACCACCACGACTGTGAGTCCCCACTCCTGTATACTTCCTGTCTTTTAGGTCAGCCCCAGGACAGACACCCGAAGGGGGCACTCAGCACATGGCAATAAATATTCAGCATGCTCAGCTGTCCTTAGGGTGAATATGCAAATGAGAACACCATCTACAAGTGACCAGCACCAAGGGTACACAGAATGTACCAAGAATGCCACAAAATGAGACTCCAACCGTGTAATTTACTGAGGACCTCCAGTGCCTTGGGGTGGGAGTATGGGGAGAAAATAATTCACAAATACATGACAATATCTACATTAGCTACAGTAAATATGAATTACTTTTATGATGAGAAAAAATATTTTAAAATATACATAAATATCAGTTTCTCTCTCTCATTTCACACCCAATGAAATCTTTCTTTCGTAATTGGGTAATTAAAAGCATTTTTAAAAACTATATAATACTTGGTTTTGTTTAAAAATAAATACAAAATTCAGATAAACAAAAAAAATAGCATAAAGATTGCCCACACATTGCTACCACCCAGAAGCAGTCATTGGTAATATCTTGCTGCAGAACATCAAAATATTTCATTTACATTTCTTCGAACCTGTACATAAGTGTTTCCTGACGTTTTTCTTGGGTCATTATCAGGAGTTAGAACACTAAGAAGATCATGGAAATGTTGGATGAAACAAAGTTAAGGAAGTTTTCTTATCTGGCCATGTGCATTAGTCAGGCTTTTTGGCAAACTGGTTCATTCCTATAAATTCCTCCATTTCATCAGAGTTCTATGAAGCAAATGGCCATAATACTTAGGTCTTGCTGTAATAACCATGATGCTCTGAGACAGTTATTCCATAATATGAGTCTTGTAGAGTCCAGGTTTTTAATTTTCTCTTGCCGGCGTAAACAGCCAAGTGTTCCACGAGAGAGTACTGATCATGTCTCGTTTTGCTGGTTGGGAAGCTGAGGCCCAGAAAGTTGGGAAATCGGCCAAGCCAAGGGTATAGCTCAGAAGAGAGCCCAGGACAGTGTCACGGTGCAGAATGCTTGCCCATCTCCATCTGCCAGCATTATAACTCACTTTACCACATTTTCTGCATCTGCCCACAACTTTTTAGCTCATGAAATACACATGATCTCGTTTCTGCCCAACAAACACCTAGGCCCTCCTGTCCTTTGTCTAATTCTGTTTTTCCCAAAGTCACTGGACAATCGATTACCTCTGTAGAGTTGAAGCTCATCCTTCAAAAGTTCAGGCTCCCCATGCTCAGCACCTGGGTGGAGACAAACCCCCCTAGTCAGTTCTTCCTGGGAGTGGCAGCCCAGGGCAGCTTCCATCTCTCACCTGCATGAAGCCTTAATCTTGTGCTGGGGGTAAGCTGGGCGGTAGTCAAGAGGCAAGACAGCTGGGGGTGGGTAAGAGATCAACTGAAGGACTTGTATGCATGCATCTAAGCATAACCAATGGACACAAGACACTAGGGGGTATGGGAGGCTAGGGGAAGGTCAAGGGGAGAAAAAAAAAAGGAGACATATATAATACTCTTTGTAATACAGTGGGGCCTTGACTTCCAAGTTTAATTCGTTCAGAGACCGAGCTCGTTAAGGAGCTCGTTAACTCAAATTACTCTGTCAACTCAATGCAAAATATCCGCCCGAGAGACAGCTGGTATCTCAAAAAACTCATTTAGTCGAGACACTCGTAAGTCAAGGCCCCACTGTACTTTAAGCAATAAAACAATTAAAAAAAAAAAAAAAAAAGAGGCAAGACGGCTTAACACAGTGGTTCTCAACCTTGGCTGCACATCAGAATCACCTGGGAATCTTTTTAAAATCCTAATTTCTGGGCCTCATCCTCTGGAAATTCTGTTTCTTTGTTATGGGGTGGGGCCACATTAGTAACAAAGAAACAGAATTTCTAGAGAATGAGGCCCAGAAGTCAGGATTTTTAAAAGATTCCCAGGTGATTCTGCTGTGCAGCCAAGGTTGAGAACCACTGGCCTACCAAGTGCTTCCCCTTTACTCTGTGGTATGCCCCCACTTCCCCAGCACACCCAGAGGTGACTGTGTTCATTTACTAAGAAAGAACTGGAGGTCTGAGAGGCCTTGTTCAAAGTCAGTAATAACAGTTGCTACTTACTGAGCACTTAATAAATGTACCAACACTGTATGAAGTACTTTCATTTGATCCTCCTGGAAATCCTATGAAGGAGGTACTAGTCCCTTTTCCTCCCCCATCTTACAGATAGGAAACTGAGGCTCAGGGGTATTTCCTGAAGTTCACATGGTCAGTGACAAGTCCAGGATTCAAACTCAGGCCTATCACCAAAGCCCACAATCCTAATCGTTCTTATCTCCAGAAACAGAATCCAGAGCTCAACTCCAGCTTCATGGGCAGCATTTATTAGACACCTCCTGTGTGCCAGGATTTGTACTAGGCATTCATCCAGGCTCTTTCCCCATGCTCTTTTCTTCCCATGATCCATGTGGGCTGAAATTTATCTTTTTTTTTGCAAAATTATTTTTCTGTTGTTAAAAAATAAAACATGCTCATTGTCAAATATTTATACTATAGAATAGTTCCAACAAGAGAAAATAAAAATCACCCATAATTTAACTACCCAGAGATAACCACTATTAGCATTTGGGTACTTTTCCTTCCAGTCTTGTTTGTAGCCACATCTGAGTGAAATTGGACAAAGCGTATATGCGGTCAAACTGATGATATGATTTGACATCCTTCTTTTTCACTTCAGAGCGATATAAAGAACAGAGGGCTCTAACCGGGACGGGTGTGGCATCACTGACCTGTTCTGCAGTTGCTGGACATTAGGTTGTTTCCCAACTATAAACAATGCTGCTAGGAACATCTTCCCACAGACATGCTCAGGCCCAGGGAGACTCAACAGTGAGACGAGTGGGAAGAGGAGAAATGGTTAAGGCCTGTTGCCTACCCGGTGAGCCGCCCCTGTGGGAGTGTCCAGCCCCCCGACTCTGCCGGTGTTTTCTGGTTTTTCTGGGGTGCTGGTCCTCATCACTGCTCTCTGCAGGGAACAAACACAAGCTGTAGGAGAACCTCGGCCTGAAAGGAGCCTAGAATACATTGTTCTGTTGTTCATCCTCAGAATTTAGTTTTTGTGAGGAGTGTGGTCTGGGAAAAATAGACTAACGTGTTTAGTGATTATCTCTGGGAGACAGAGCAAAGGATGGTTGTTTCTTCTTCTTTCTATATCGTTACATGTTCCACATTTTGTACAACATGTCTATGGGTGCCCAGCTGGTGTGGCTCAGTGGTTGAGCATTGACCTATGAACTAGGAGGTCACGATTCGATTCCTGGTCAGGGTTGTGGGTCGGTCCCCAGTGTGGGGTGTGCAGGAGGCAGCCAATCAGTGATTCTCTCTCATCGTTGAGGTTTCTCTCTCTCTCCCTCTCCCTTCCTCTCTGAAATCAATAAAAATATATTTTTAAAAAATGTGCCTATGAGTAATCTTTCACAATAAAAATTTAATTAAAAAATAACAGGCTAGCCGAAACCGGTTTGGCTCAGTGGATAGAGCGTCGGCCTGCGGACTGAAGGGTCCCGGATTCGATTCCGGTCAGGGGCATGTATGTACCTGGGTTGCGGGCACATCCCCGGTGGGGGATGTGCAGGAGGCGGCTGGTCGATGTTTCTCTCTCATCGATGTTTCTGACTCTCTATCTCTCTCCCTTCCTCTCTGTAAAAAATCAATAAAATATATTAAAAAAAAATAACAGGCTACATTAAGAACAAAAAGATGTAGGGAGAACAGTGCTGGGTGTACGACTATCAGTTAGGGTCCTGGGCCTGGAGGAAGGCTGGGGGCTACAGTGAGCCGATCGGGCTGGGGGCCTTGAGGTCACCATCTGAGCCTGAAGGATGGACATGGTCTGACTCCCAGCAGCAGGCCAGTCACTGTGGGTCAGACACAGGATCCTGAATATCAGTCTGTCCCTGTGTGCTCTGTGTTAATTGCTTTCTCTTAGTGTTCAGTTTTGCTAACCACAGCCAATCCCACGTGCGCTGTGGAGACAGGAGGGAAGTGCTCTATGGCCACGCTTGAGGGACATTAGTGTGGGAGCAGCACCCCCTAAGGGGCAACCAGAATCAGAACACAGAATGTCCCCTCGCACCACAAAGGAGAAACACAGGGACAGAGTCCCCCTGGCAAGAGTCCCCTGCTCCCGGAAGCCCTTCTTCCAGAGCTAAAGCCCTTAGTGGGTGGGTTTGTGTACGTTTAATAAGGGCGGTGGTTTCCTTTCCAGACCCATGAGGAGACTGGCTACGCACAAACCCACGGGACCCACTAACCATGGTCTCTCTTCTGTCTGCTGAAATAAGCATGGATTTTGTGGCCTTAAGTCTCAGTCTCATCATTTGCAACATGAGGACGTAAGTCTAGGGTGCCAGGGATTTGCAAACATTTTTACAAATTTAGCCTCAGATTGCTTTCATCAAATAATATCTCAGACCCAGGCCCACTATGTACAACAGATCAGGAGCTCTGATTGTGGAGGAATAAACCAGGGCTAATCCTTAGGCTCCTCAGGCCCAGAAAGACCTCCAGGGAATCCCAGGTTACTGAGCCCTCTCCCAGCAGGGCAGTCAGCCTGTGCCTCAGTTTCCTCATCTGTAAAATGGTAACAATAACAGTACCTCCCTTAATGGATTGCTATGAGAATTAATTGAGTTATTACAGTGCTCAGAACAGTACCCGGCACAAAGGTCAGCAGCATCAACACATGTTAGCTATGATGTCGCTGCTGCTGCTGCTATAAACTCAACCTTACATTTCGAATCAAAAGAATAAAAGTGAAAGAACATTCTGCTGTTTATCAGAGAATAATATGATAATTTGTAATCAAGACTCAAATAGAGACACTTATTTCTCTAAACCCACTAAAGTACTTGTGGGGGAGCAATACTTAGGACATGATTTGTATGAAATACTAAAAAAGCAAAAGCAATGGTGGTCTGTGGGAGAAAAAGGGTATGGAATTTCCACTCCAGCGTGAGGGGAAGATGGGGCTACAAGGGAGGCACAAGAGGCGGGGGGAGCAGCCCACGCATTTTAAGGAAGCATTTCAAACCGGCAGCTTTTAATTTACTTAAACCTAATCCTACCTATTAAAAGTTTCTAATAGATATATTAGGTAAACTGTAAATAACTATATAATTAAACGCCATGACCCTCAATTTAAAAATAAATGAATAAATAAATAAATGAAAGCAAAAGCTTTTGAGCAAGGATGCTCATGAATGGGATAAGTTGGTGGTAAGGTGGGGTGGATCTTAACAATAATAGTTCCTTTTTGGGCTTTTACTATGTGCTAGGTGCTAAGATGTTACACATGTGAAAAAATGTTATCGTCATAAGAATCCTATGAGGTAACAACTTTTTTTTGCCATCCCTATCTTAGAGATTAGGACCTCAAGGCATACAGGGTTAAGCGATTTATTCAAGGACACATAGCTAGTTAGTTGAACCCGGGCAGGCTGCTTGACGGACAGGTGCACTGACTCCGGCACCAGACCGTCCCTAGGAAACCTAAATGTTACTTTAGATGAGATGCAGCCACTTGAGGGGTTATCCGGGAGGCATGAGAAATAGCTGCCAAGATATGACAGAATAGCAGGGCAAAATGCAGAGGAGGAGACAGCAAACAATGTTAAACCATGAACGAAACTGTCTATACGATTCTGTATAACTGTGTACAAGTTGTGTGTACAGATAGGCGGGCTCTGGAAAGGAATGCCGACAAATAGAATTGAAGTATCCAGGTGGGGGGTTATGGGGCATGGTTTTCCCATGTAAAAGTTTTCTTGAATAATATAAGATTATGTACGTGTATATTTAAATCTTTGCTGTACCTGAAGCAGAGGAGGACGAGGATGAAGAGGAGGAGGAGGAAGATGAAGAGGAGGAGGAAGAAGACTTGTCTCTCTTATACTGTTTTTGAGGAGAGAGTCCAGCCTCCCTGTCTTGCTTGTGGAAATCTGTCTCTCCATCTGGGAGGAACACATAGGCAAGGATGAGTGTTTCCCGCCCGTCCCACCCCCAGGACCACCAAGGCCTCCTCAGGGGTCTCTCTAGATGTGGGGAGCCAGGAGGGGCTGGTCTCTCCAGGATACTCTTCCCAGAGGCCCCAGGTTCCTAAGAAGGCCCAACGCAGAAATTTCTCTAAATATGGAGCCCAGACAGGGGCTTCTAAGGGCCCTGTCCTGCTCTGAGACCACTAGACTGGATACTAGTAAGTAGTTGCCAATAGAAGATTCTCTGTAAATTTCAGGGCAGGTGGGATCAGATTAAGCCCTATGTTCCTATCTCCTATGCTGGGGCTCTCCCTAGTGCCAGCCCAAGCCCACAGAGACTCTTAGAGAGTTGGGGAGCAGCTGAGGGATCCCACAGCTCGAAAGTGCTGGAGGACAGACTGGACCAAGCACATATGTATGTGTGCATGTGTGTAAAATCACTACTTCTTTAGAGGTTTCAACTGTGACTTGAGCCATTGTACCACCTGAGCTAAGCAGGGCCGTCCTCTGTTCTACCCATTGCTGGACTCCACCTCCCATGAGGCTTTGCCCAGAGGATCAGAGAAGGCAGACATACAGACTACATCTTCTGTATTTCCGTGGACTTGACCGTGGTCTGGAGTCTGGGAGGAGGATCCTGAAGTCTCCATTGCCTTCCCTGGAGGAATAACAATAACAAGGAATTAATATCACTTGTAATTAATAATCAATAACTAGTAGTTAATATCCTTAATACAGAGAGAGCTTGGCAAATAAATAAGAAAAGGAAAAACACTCAATTTAAAAAGAGAAACAACTTACAAAAAAAGAAAAATACAATTAGGGAAATTTGGATAATGATCATCTTTTGACAATATAAAAACTTATTTACTTTTAAAAAACAGGCTTTAGTATTTCAGCAGTTTTAAGTTCACAGTAAAATTAAGTGGACGGTACAGAGATTTCCCATATTCCTCCCACCTCCATACATGCATAGCTTCCCCATTATGAACATCCTCCGCTAGTAATTTTTAGGTGTGATATTTATATCGAGGTTATATTTATTTAAAGTATCCTTAAGTTTAGAGATAAATACTGAAATATTTATAATAAAGTTATATTATGTCTTGGACTGGCTTCAAAATAATCCTGTTTGGTAGTTGGAGGGCATGGGTGGGGATCCAAATAAACAAGCATGACCATCAGTCAGTAGTTGTTGGAGCGATATCAAAATATAAATCGTGGTTCTTTCTGGGTGGTGTTATCATGCATATTTTTAGTTTCTTATTTTTACTTTGCATCTTCTAAATTTTTAGCAGTAGTGCTATTGTCATAATAAAATAACCAATAATTTTTCAATACTTAAAAATGTAACATACTGCCTTATATTAGTATAGCACTTAATGGTTTTCCAAAGGGCTATGTGTCTATAATTCCATATGAGCCTGATCACAAACCAGTCAGGTAGGAAATGGGATTAATTAGTCCTCATATTTGAATTGTAGTTTCTAGACAATGGATATTTAAATTTTTGCCCACCTCCATCCCGCCCCCACCTCTGGCAACCACCTATCTGTTCTCTGTGTCTATGAGATTGGGTTGGTTTTGTTTTAGCAGAGAATCTACTCTTTTTTTTAAAAAAATTTTTTTTAATTTTATTTCTGAGAGAAAGGGGGGAGGGCGGGGGGAGAGAGAAACATCAATGATGAGGGAGAATTACTGATCAGCTGCCTCCTGCATGCCCCACACTGGGGATTGAGCCCACAACCCAGGCGTGCGCCCTGACCACGGAATTGAACTGTAACCGCTTGGTTCATAGACCAATGTTCAACCACTGAGTCATGCCAGCCAGGCCAGAGAACCTACTCTTAACCCACCACAAGACCTTGGCAAGGCAATATCTTTCCCTGTGTCTCAAAGCTGGACGAGCTGGGTGTGAATCCTGACACTTCCAGCTGTGGGAGCTGAGCATGTTACTGAACCTCTTGCTGTGCCTCAGGTTCCTCGTCTATAAAACGGGGACGATAATAGTGCTTGCTTCATAGTATTGTTGTGAAAAGAGCGTGAGCTAAAACACATGAAGCACTTAGAACAATGCTTGGTACAGAGCAAGTGTTGAATAAATGATGATTATTATTAAGACGGAGGAGCTGGGTGGGAGCAAAAAGACAGTATTTGTACAGTGGCAAGAGCATGTGCTTTGGGGTCAGTCTGACCAGGGTCCAACTCCACTTCTGTCACCTGTGCATGGGGTGACCTTGGGTAGAGCAGTTCCCCTCTCTACCTTCTATTTATCACAACTGTGAACCAGTGACAGCAGAGGCTTAGGGAGGAAAGATGGCCAGGGCCTGCCCTTAGAGGCCTCAGAAGATGTGAGTTCCCGCTTCTCCAGGCCTTTTATGACCCTCAGACAATCAGTGTCCAGCCCCAGCCCTGCCCATCTCCCTTCTCCTATTACCCTCTTTCTAGAATAAAAATTCCCATTTTGCAGGGCAGAATTCAGCTAAGCATTAGGAAGTCACTAGGCAATAAAACTGATTAATATTCAGGAATGAATGACTGACAACCACACACCTCCAGGGCATATCTATGTTTTGAAAAGAACTCTTTGTACATAGCAGGTGCCCAGTACATGGTCATTAGCTGAGGTCATCTCTAATGTGGAATTCCAGGTAGAGTGGAGGAAGAGATTTAGAGCACCTATGGGCGGAAGAGAGCTCTGGCTGATGCCAAATACACCGGAAGTTCACCAACCTGTTCCCATCTCCTTCCTGCTCTAGCTGTCACTTGGCAGTCCCTGGCCACACACAGCATTTTCAGGCCTCCAGACTCCTATCTATGCCATTTTCCTATTGTCAGAATTGTATCTGACCTTCTAGGCACAGCTCCATTAACACCTCCTTCATGAAGGCTCATGCTAGCTGCCTGACCAGAACGTTCACTTCTGACCCCTGCTCCATTCACCCTTCTTCCCCCACCACCCTTGGACTTCTTGCTAACAAAGCTGCAATTTTGTTCTTCCAACTCCAGTTAGATATTCATTTTTCCAGTCTTTCTCAGAGCTGAGGATGGCCATGTGACCCAATTTTCACTAATGAAAAGTTAGCAGAAATTTTTTGGTGTTCAGGAATGGTTTAGTTTCTCTTACAAAAGAGGGCAACAGGGCTGGTGTTATGTCTTGCCTCTCCTTCCATCCCTGAACATGACTGTGATGGCAGGAGCTACAGGGGCCATCTTGTGACCTTGAGGAAAAGCCAAAGCAAACTGAGCCCTCGCTCACAGCTGCTTGCTTTCTTGTTATTTGAAACAAATAAACCTCATTTTGCTGAAGCCTCTATTAAGGATTTTTGTTATTTGTAGCTAAATACAATTCTGACAGAAACACATTCCTACACTAATTGAGCACCTACTGTATGCTAGCACTGGAGAAACAGTGGTGAACAAGTTGCAGCACTTTCCTCAAGGAATTTCAAGGTAGACCTGGGGGCTGTTGGAACCCAGGGGCCAAATCAGATTAGAGTCAGTCAAGGAAAGCTGGGGGTGAGTTGGAAGGGCCAGAGGGAATAATGTGCAAAGACACAGAGTGCAGGGCGCCATGGACCACATGGGAAACAGTTGGCAGGAAGCATCTTTAAAGAAGAGTGGGATTTGGAGGTGGCCCAGAGAACACCCCCATTGCATCCCCCAACACATCATTCTCGAGCCATAATCAACTTTGCCTTATACCAGACTCTTCTTCAAGGTAGGGCATCTAGTTGCAAAACTCTGGGAGCTACCGTTCCTATTCACCTTCAGATCTGTGCCCAGGGCTCAGCAGAGGGTCTGACACACCTAGGGTGTGTCTCTTCTACTGGATCATGAACCCCGCCAGGGTTAGAGACTCAGGCTGACTTATTTACGTGTCACCGAACCCTGCACAGGGCCTGACAGAAACCAGAAATGATGATGATGATGACAATAACAATAAATGCTTACTATCTGCCAGGCCACAATCTAAGCATGCTACGTGTATTAACTTGTATTCCTCACCACAACCCTAGGACGGCTCACCATGGTTGTGCCCATTTTATAGGTTAAGAACATTGAGGCAGAGAGACACTAAGAAACTTCCCCAGAGCCATGTAGCTAGTAAGTGACTGAGCAACAGTAGTTGTTTGGTCCATCTTGAGGGCTGGAAGGACTAATGCTGGCACCTCTTCCCAGGCCCCTGTCATCTGACCAGGAAAGAAGCCACTAACAGTCATGGGAGTGTTATACAAGTGATGCTGATTTGGCTTATATTTAGCCTCTGGTGGAAGTGTCCTCAGAGCCAAGTTCACTTCCGTGGGCAGTTCTTCAGCACACTGATCCATCAGGAGAGGGGAAATGGTAGGAGCTATCCTTGCCCCACCCTCCCTTCACCCTTATTTCTGCTATGAGAAAGACATGCTATAGACATAAATTCTAACTATGTTTTATTGGTTTTAGAGAGAGAGGAAGGGAGAGGGGGAGAAAGACAGAAACATCTTTGGCCAGGGACCGAATCCACAACCTGGGTATGTGCCCTGACTGGAAATCAAACCGGCGACCTTTTAGTGCACGGGATGACGCTCAACCAACTGAGCCACACTGGCAAAGGCATAGAATTTTTATAACTTAAAACTCAGGGATCAATGGGCAAGGCAATGCTTAACACAAAGGACAGAGGACTCGGTGGAACATCAGGCTCTGGCAGAGGGATTGTTGGGAGGGGCTTCGGAAAACTCAAGTTCAGTGCATGTGATTTGGAGCCAAGAAGGACAACCATAGGCAGTTGACAGAGAAGTGAAGAAAGAAGAAAGCAGGAAGAGGAAAAGAAGCATGGCATGTCCCCTGCGATCTAATTTTATTCATGCAAGTCTTATTTGTTTTATGCAGGAAAACCTTAGGTTTAGATGGACAAAGTGACTTGTCCAAGGTCTCCCAGCTTACAGATGACCCCTACCCAGACAGAGAACCCTATCCCTAGCCCTGGTTAGAGGCACCTCATGTGGCCCCACATTTGAGGCTGATCCTACAAGGAAATAGACTCATTTTCTAACACTTTTCTCCAAAAGCCCAGCCCTGCTGAGTCACTGGTGGTGCCAGGTCCTCTGCACCCACAGGTCTTGCTAAACCAGATTTTCCCCTTCAATCCAGCCCAGTATTTCCTAAGTTCCTGCTGTCATAAGGGCCTGGGCCCAGAGTGGGAGGGATAGTAGGAGACAGCCTCACAGCCCCTTTCCTGCCCAGCTCACTCAATCCTCATACTAATCAGGAGGGAGGCAGAAAGGGTGGGGATTATTGTCCTATTTTACAAATGGGGGAACCGCAATCTAGAAATGGAGGAACTTGCACAAGGTCACATAGCAACTCAGGGGCAAGGCTGGCTCCAGAACCCTGCCTCTTCATTCAAGGGCTGCTTATCTTTCCCTGGTGTCTCTCCCTGGAGGAGGGGGCTGAGGCAACTAAGATTGAGTTGGATTTCAACAGGTGGCAAAAGGCAGAGTGGGAGAAAGATTCCGTGGAGGGGGTGGGTGGCAGAGGGCAGTTGAAAGGGTAGGAATCCCCTGAGGCTGGGGAAGTAGTCCTGGGCCTTGAATGCCTGGCTAATGGCCAAGTGTTCCTGCAGGTGAACTGTGAGGAATGTTCCTAAGGGTCACAAATGCAGGGCCAGGTCAG